CAGGTCAGCCAGCCAGCCAGGCATATGGCCAATACATGAAAGCTTTCTTATCAAGCAAATCTTATCTTGACTCGCACAACTGTAACAGGTGTAAGTAATGCAGATGCCGCATATTTATATTTCTTCACTGAATCAACCTCGTTCCTATCGTTTCCACTAAGACACGAATCACGTCTACGTCGTGCACAGATATATGCCAATTGACATTCATTCATATGTTTATTTTTAACTTCGGCAGTTACAATTCGTTCAAATTCCTGTCCCCGACCGAATGTGTAATGTTGTTTGCCCTTGTTTTTGTGACAGACGTTCATGAAAATTTTCCACAATAAGTTCAAATATTTTAATCCTTCCTCAATAAGATAGGTTTTGACATTTCACAGTAAGCGATATTATCGATGAAATACCGTTGCGTATGTTTTGGAATTAGCAACGAAACACTATCAGTGACACTATTGCAGTATGAGTAAACGTGGACATGGTTGTTCAGTTACTGCTTTCAAGCATCCCGTTGAAGATAAACTTGTGGAACATATTTCTTAAGCAGTAGTTTCCTTTAATTCTCGCATTCATTAAATGACATGTCTTCTTATTCAGTTGTTGCTAGCGTTTTGATAGATGATCTTCCACTTCTCCTAGGGTCATTCCCCCATATTTCTACATACAAACGTATGTTTAATTGCCAATTGCTTAATGTCTGTTCCGTATGTTCCGCGAAGCATGCATATGTTGTCGCAAAATGAAAGTTAACAAGCCATATATTATTCGCACGATCCGATTAAGGAAAGATGTCTGTTACTCTATCCGATCGCTGCTATCGTTCACTATCGTTTTCTGGATGTGGTTTCCTGTGCATCTACCATGCTGGCGTATGCGCTGCAATTAAAGAATATGCACCTGAGATGCTGTCTGGTTCGATGAGTGGTGCTTCAGCTGGCTCAATTATCGCCGCATGTCTCATTTGTAATGTTTGCATATCGCGGGGTGCAAGCATCATTCTGAGGATCGTTAATGAGGTTATTTGTTTGTTTGTTTTTTTTNGTTGTTGTCGATCAGAATCGACTTCAGACAGCCAAAAATAATTCGTTATCCGATCCCATACTTTCACCAAATATACTCAATTTTCGAGCACTGTCGGCTGATGGATTACGCAGCTCAGGTGAGGGGGGATGGCAGATGGGAGAGGGGAAGTGAATCCTCTCCCCCTTCAAATTCTGAGAAGGTAGACTGATCAGGTATAAGGAAGGGGATTGCAGTTCGCCTCAATTCATGCCCGCGAACCATTCCTTACGATCCTCTACACACTTCTGGCTCTATTCGACTTTCATTGTTACATTTCTGTGAGATATTCATTTTTAAGAAACCTCACTAATTTTATCGATATGATCATTTCTACGCGCAATCTGTGGGTCTTATAGTTAAGGTTATTTTGTGAATATGAAAGAGTTGATGATTATTTTCTCACATTGGGATGGGTGAGAAAAACAAGGAAAACCTATCGCAACCAGATGGATCAGGGACATTTCAGTTGATATGACTCGTAGTCATGAATATGAGTAGTCATGAATCAGTGAAACAGGTCGAGAAACTTTTTCGAATTCATGTGTGCTCAATTCACGTTAGAACATAGGATT